AAATTGATTAAATAAAAATCTCTACGTTATTTTAGCAAAAGAGCTTTAAACTATATATTAGCTGCATTGTTTTTTTGTTAATAAGAGTTTGAGGTGTATAGTGGAAAAATTTCTAAAACCTTTTAAAATTATAAAAGTTTTCAAAACTTTCAGCAAGCATCTCAACTCCATAGCTGTTGTTGAATTTTCAATATTTTTCTATTGCTTTGAAAATAATGTGTATGAAAATTTTACTTTCTTTAATTGTTGACTAAAAAAGTCTTCTAGAAAAGTAGACTACGTTATAGAAAATTGTTACAGTCAAGAAAGGGGCTGTGGCTTTTTAAAGAATTATTTATGAGGTAGACAAAAATAATTCATAGAAAGAAACGTAAGATCAAATAATAGTATATCTGACCTTTATTTAAAAGAAATTCCATGAATATTTTATACCATTATTTATTCACTGTTTCAAAAATTGACCAAAATTTGCTTTAATGTCAGACAAAAAATAATATATCTCAAATTCTTTACATAAAGTACTCTTCTATAAGATATTTGTTTTTAAGACATTAAAAGTAAATTCATAAATAATTTCACATACATTGAAATGTAGGAATGTCATTTACATTTTTATTATGATTCTGTTTTGTTAGTGATCTCTTAACGAACGATTATGTAAAATATCGTGGAAAAATATCTAAGAATTTCTTTTCATGATTTTAATTAAAATTATGAAAAAGACAATATACTGCTGTGATATCATTCAATATTTTTACAGGAGTCAAAAACACGAGGCAGGTTAACTTTAGCTTAGTAACTTTAGTGATATTCGATCAAAATTGTAATTTCATACACCTGCTATCATTACATTTTGAAGATTGTTTGAAACACCAACTTCCTCAATCAACTGGCATGAATAATAAATATGTTTGTGAAGAACCATCACAAAACTCGTCTTTATAACTGCGATTGTACCCTCCGCAGAAACTTCATATATTAAGATAACGCGTCACATTATTAGGTAATTTAAAACGCAATTAAAACTTCTCTCCATGCTGATGTATTTGTAATGATCTCTGTAATGAAATGAATGTTCGCGTTCAGGTTAAATTAACATTTGTAAACTGTAAATAGACAATTTAACAACCAATTAGTTTAATTAATGACGTTTTTCAACACCTCTTTTATACTGTCCAAACGATGGAGCATAAATTTTATGTTGGGAAATCACATAGTATTTATATATAAGAATACAAGTTTATTATTCTGTATAGATATATTTTTGGTATTCACTAAGAATATAATTTATCATGCCTAATATTATTCGAAACCAAGTAACAAGAAAAGAATCAGTATTCTGTGATCGTAACATTTTTATTTTCCTTGTATCTTGTAATCATATTTTGGCTTAAAGCATCGAAATATTTACAGCGCTGACCGTCATTCTTATTGATTTTAAAAAGTATATAATGAAATCAAAGTTCTTAAAATCTGATACCGATATTAATACATTTTCTAGAAGAATTTTCCTCAAGGAAATAAAACTTTGTCAAAGATCCCTGTTGTTTGGCTTATATCATCGCAAGGTTATGAGTTTTAGGGGGAGGAGAACCAATTAGCTGAAATGTAAATAAAATATATTGTTATTGTGTGTGGGCAACATTTGCATAGAAAGCGAAATCGGAATTCCGAGGAGCCGTGCTAGACCTATGTTAGTTTCCGTGTTAACTTTTCTGTTGTTGTTAGCTTTTATTAATTGCGTTTTTATGGTTAGTTTTATTTATAACTTGTTTGTTCAGTATACATCGGAGAGTTGTTGTGGAGTTTTTGTGGTTGTTTTTGTTAATAAAATTACAGAACAATTTATATATCCCTGAATCAACTAATTAACTTTAATTAAAAATATTTTATTTTATAATTAGCTCCCTTATCTACAGCGTTGTTGATTTATCTACACTTTTTGGTACAAGGGTATATATAGTTTCGTTATATGTAGTAGTTTAGTATATTATAGTTTTTGATATTTTGTTTTCTTGGAAGGTTATTCTATTTTCCACTTCTTTAAACTATAATTTTCATTGTTTCTTAAAACATTAGAAGGAAGAGGATTCACAACTAAAATTAATTCTTAAAAGCTTCGTTTTAAGTACTATTATTTCCTGTCACCATCCAATGAAGAGTATAAATGAATACAACTTATTTATAACTCCGAGCAACTCATTATACTTGACATAAATTGTGGTTGTGAAGATGTAATTTGTTTTACGCAGGACGGGTTTTTCACCATTCACGCTATTCCAATTTACGTGGTGCCATTTGAAGAAATTGTCTAATTAACCTGCCTATTCCACGATTTATTACTCAACCCTTGGATGTCTGAAGTAATTTGGTACAACGTTTATTGACTGTGGTGTTGAACATAAATTTGTAAGAGAGATACTTTTTCTTTCCAACATTAGAGTATTTACCTATCATATATATGGCTCTCGTTTCATAAGAGCCATACATAATGACTAAACGAAATAAAGTAAAAAAATATATTTGTCCTTTCAAGTAATCTATATCTTTTTTATATTACCCAGTTATCAAGATAACAAAATAGAAACTTCAACTTAGATGTTGTTAAACAAAAAAGAATAATATCAAAAGGAGGAATATCTAAGGAGAAACAAAAATTTGCTTACTTTAAGACTAAGATGTCACATGGTGTGTTATACTATTGCAGAAACGTTTAGAGAACTTAAAAACAAATCATAAATAATTAAATAGAAGTTGACAGCAAACACGCTTTAACCATTAAACATTTTAATTAGAAAGAAATTCTTGAATTAAAAACTGTTAGCTTTATTTCGAAGAGGTTTCGGATCTGAAGTGTTAAATACAGAAATAGTTTCTATATTCAGTGACTCAAAAAAAATGTTTCGTCATAAATATTATAAATTCTCTTTCATTAATTGTACTATTTCCTCATACATAAGGCAACATGGTACAGTTAAAATATACTAGAACATTGAACAAAAATACACATTTACTTCGATTATATGTACATAAATGATATTGTTTTAAGCAAATATATTTGTATAATGCTTTTTAATTGCTTAGAAGAATTATTAAGTGATTTATTAGAACTAAGGAAGGCAACAGTAAATATAAAATAAATTACCAATTCAATGAACAAATAAATTAAAAAGAAATATATTTTCTAGGCCACGTGTATTTGTAGTACAGCGAAGGTAAACTAATTTGGCACACGTTCAAACTAAAGACTATTTACAACTAAGCCTCTTTTTATCTAGACATAGAAGATGGCGGCTGAGCCTGAGGGTAATTCAAGAATCAAGTATGTTTAAGTATATTTATTTTTCGTGATTAACACTTCAAACTTTAGCAAATTTATTAAAATGTATGTTATACTTTTCATTCTTTCAAATTTTATATAATGATTTGCATTAAATTTGTGTAAAATAAATAAAATGGCAGAAACCGGTACATTAAATTATTCCTTCAAAATGTACATACATTCTCCATGTCTATTACTTTTGTTGAGATGGCATCAAGAGATATTCGATCAATATCAATTTGCGGTATGTAAAAGTAGACAACGATTAGATCTATTTCGTAAGAGTCAAATACATTAAAGTAAAAATTAAATGCTTTTTTTGTAGGTATGAAACGAAAAAAATGATAAAAGTATTTTGAAAAAAACTTGGTATTGTTACTTTGAATTGTACAATTACACGTGTAACTGTAATCATTGATATGTCGTGTAACTAAAGAAATTCTCTGAATATCTTTGAATATTTGCTCTTCAAAAAATAATCTGAAATCTTCAAAAAAGCAATACTTTTGCAGGTATGATGCATGCTATGATAATATTTTTACTATTGGTTATACGGAAATCGGGAAAGTTGCCATATCACTTATTAAATATTGATCTAGAATTTTTTTATTTGATCACTATTCATAATATGCAATAAAATTTAATCAATATAATATTCTTATAAATGCTTCTTAGGTTGTGTTATTTTCATGAAGGCAATTATTATTATTTGGTTTTACTTTTTTGGAGTGAATTATACAAAAAAAATTGAAACGTAGGTATATTCTTCAGTTATACTTTTCTCATAAAATTTCAAGAAAAAATATCTCTACCTTCAAGAATATTTGAAACGTAGGATAGAAACATAATTTTTGTGTTTTTTTTACTCATTAAGATATACAGACACTAAAACCCTAGATTTCAAAGATTGGTCCAACTCTTCGCTAGCCTGAACGTCTTCCTTTTCGATTTGACGACTTCTTTGGACGCCAACGGTTGGTGGCAATTGTTTAAATATTCTGCAGCATACCTTGAATCTGCTTGAACAACCGCTAACTGTTGCATCAAAACCTTTATCACTAGAGCAGTGTCTGACATGTATACAAACGCCGCCGCGAGCCCAACAAGTCGCAGAGGTAGTTCCTTATGAAGGATTAAAGATGTTGGATTACGTAATTTGTTTTTACCCTTAACAATATAATAGTTAATTGTATACAATTTTATACAAACCGAGTTGAGGCCTGCCTCCTTTGCTTGCAATAAATATGTCTTTATACGTTGATGGTAATAATGGAATACCTTCTAGAGGATCATTAAAATTTCCCATTATGGAAGTAATAGGTATATATACAAAAAAACTAAAGAGAAGCAACATAGCTACTAAAAGAATTCGATCGGTTTGTGCTCAGTCAAATCATTTCAATTGTCTATAAAATTGATTTCACACTTGATAGAAAACATTCGTTTAGATAACAATTTCTTGGCTTATCCATTTCGATTCACTTGGATTGTGTTTGTTATCACTGAATAGATAAGTTTGATTTAATTTTATTTTGTAGGGTAACCAGTCAATGAGGCGAAATACAAGATAAGTTAGTTTATTTGACTACGAATTATAATATTCTTGATTATTTCCTTTAATGATATATTTTTTTATAATGTTAATGAACTATATCCCATGAGATGGTAAAGAAAACAGTTATAATCTCTTATAGGAGTTTGTTTTTATTTCCTTAACAGTTGTACGTTTTTTCTTCTTAGGGCGCTTTGTAGTAATTTCTCGTATGCCTTCGCCCCCATATTCTTTATTAAGACTCCATGGATACGCTGGATTTCCTATACCTTTATCCCTCATATCCCTTACTTCAAACTGATTCCATACGAAACAGCAAACTCTATGTCTGTTTTTACAGCCAGGTATTTCTGTGAGTTGTCTATAACCAGGACATAGTTTGAAACTGATGCAGATACCGCCATGTTTCCAACATTCGGTTGTTATTAAAGATCCTGATTATTCCAAAATAAATAAATATTAATATAAAAAAATATAATTAAATAATCTAACTTACTTTATTGACATATACAGTTAGATTTTATTAGTGAAAAGTCTCTAATAAGTCCTCTTTTTCCGAGAATTATAATGTTTTTTCAAATTTTATGATAAAATAAAAACTACGACAAAGCGATGTCGTCTTTCCTAGTTAATATATTTATTCACTATTTTATTATTATAATCTATTAATATTAATTATTTAAACACCAAAATTATAGGAGAAACGATATATTTTTATTTAAAATCGTATTAAAATTTTGAAATACCACAAGTCAAACAAACAGAGAAAATCTATTAGTTTTCTAAATGCTCTGATTTCCGTCTATCTTTTGTCTGATGAACTCGATGTCAAATAAGAGTGATGGAGAAAATAATTTTATTTTGTTGTAAAGAAAATATTTTTATCATAAAACTATTTTTGTAATAATAAATATTACAATATTTATTTACTAAAACATGCAAGAAATAAATTTATTTCAATAGTTAACGAACTGTGTGTTTACCAATCATTTATTAGAAAAAATATTTTCCACTCGTTTTACAATTCAGCTTTGCGTTTTATTTTACGGTTATTAATTTTAAATTTACCTTACATAAATCATTTGCAATGATTTTTTATAAAATGTATCAGGATGGGTGCATATTTCTAAAGAGATTTCAAATTTGAATTCTTTTAATTCCAAATGTCTTCTTTCAAATAAATATAAATTAAAATGACTTACTCCGAGACGCTAGTGAGGCAAGAGCGCTATGATAAGCTAATGCTTCCGCTCGCAAATCCTCATATTCTTCGTCCACAGAAAGATCTAGGTTGGCATCATTCCTCAAAGATGATATTAAACCGGTACCGAAGTCGCTCTCACTACCGGAATCTTTGTCTGCGAATACCGATCCCAGTCTTTGACATGAAATTATTAATAATAGCGAGAGAAACATTTCTCTTGCATTGCAATGTCGTAAAGAAAATATTTTACTTCGATCAGTGTTCGATTCGTTTAACAGAAAATTTTATTGTAAAAAATACATAAATTCCGATGATAAGCTGGCTATGCGGGAGAATTTGCGAGTGAAACGCGGCTTGGATATCGAAACATTGTGCAATTCATTTAAAAGGATAAAATTTATATCATTTTTTAAAATGAATCTCATAAAAGTAATATCACAACTGAGAACGTTATTTGGTTAAAAAAAAATTACCTTATGTAAATTTTGTTGTTTTATTTTTTGGCTATTACTAATGTTCTAAATAGCATTGTTGATTTAATTCGGCGTATTGGATTAAGGTAATTATTATTCATGGTATAGTTTCAATTTACATTGAAACTATGACGGAATGGATAATGAATTCTTGCAAATCAATCCTTTATCAACCTCCGGGGTGTAAATATTAATTAGTCATTCATTGATTTCTAGGCTCAAGTCATATTTCATTGTTACTCATATTCATACGAGCTATTAAAGTGTTACTCAATATAATCAAAAGTATAAGTTATAGCAGAATAGATCAGAATAGCAGATCATATTTCTGTGTTTAAAAATTTAGATTAAAAGAATATTATTTTTAAAAGTAATAGCATCTTGAAATCTTAACTTCCAATTGGGAAAAGTTTAGAAATTAAAGAATACACCGTTTATTGTCTGATAAGCTTTAAAGACTATACTAAAATTTATGTCAATAACCTAAATTGGGTTTGTAAATATTTAAAACATTGAGCATAAAATTCATATAAAGGAATTCCTGAATTTTTGGGGCAGTTTTTCATTTCGCTGTTGAAATGATTTGATATCTCTGTACTATGAATGTATATAGTGTTTCTCTGAATTTTCTTTATTAGACGAGGTCATTTTTATTACATTAGGTCTACTTGTTTCTTAATTTTACTAACTTATACCTGCCAATATCACAACATGCGTTAAAAAAAAATCTCTTTGATAAAATTCCTCTATAATGCTACATTTTACTTATAAATATTAGCAATACCCTACTATTACTTTCTTTTATTCAAGGCATATTATTAGTGAGAAAGGTAATAATTTAAATTACGTGTGATAAAGATGCTCCTATATACATATAATGCTACGGTATACATTTAAATTATTAAACATTTCAACTTTAGTAAAACGCCCATTTCTGTCAGTTAGTTTCCAAGCCAGTAAATAGACTACACTGAAGCAGAATAAAAGTCGGGGAGATAAAACTTAGTTTTTTTGTTATAAGAGCATTCTTTGAGTTATATCTACCTAGTGTATTTGAGAGCGTAACAAAAACTTTTTGATCGAAATTGAAGTCACGGAATTTCAACATATCGTTATATTTTACAAATAACAATTTCAGGTCCGTTAATATACAAGCTATTGCAAATAAAAGTTAATATTTTAATTTTTTATTGTAAGACCTATTTAATATCTAGACAGACTAATTCCAAAAAGCCTACTTTGTAGTTAGATAAAACTGATTTTATTTTATAAAATTCTCATTCTTAAAACAATTTTCATTTAAAATGTTTGTCAGTTCTTTAAAATTCAAATCATTGAGCATAAAAATCCGCATAGTTTTATTAGTATACATTTAATCTTGTTTTCCGCGTGTATGCTCTAGTTTCTGTTTCAGTGGGATGCGACACATCATCCTCCTGAATTATTGAGGCCAAAATCAATCGGGTCCAATGTATGCCGAGCGGACGTCATAGTTTGCTTCCATAAAGCTTTTTTATGAACACTATATATTCAAAGAGATTCAAAGGATTTTGAATACCTAATATAATCAAATATTTTTATGTTATACCTGAACTTTTTTGGTTTGGCATGACAAAGTCAGGATTTTGAAAATAAATTCACGTGTATTGAAAAACATTCCTTTAATTCATATAGTCAAATTTATCATTTTAATGTATTATAATATTAAGTTTATAAATAAACTTTGACGACAACATCATAGTGTACCTATTAATTCAACATCATACATCGCAATATATTAACATAAATTTTGCATGCAATATAGTGGAAAGCCAACAAGTGTGTCAATTAATATCAGAATCTATTTATAAACTAGACTTAATTGTGTTTAGTTTAACAAAATTAATGACATTTCTAAACCATTAACTTTTATACAAATTCAAAATAGCATAAAAATTACAACGATTTACGATTAAAAATTTAAGTGCTATTTTCATTGCACATAAGCTGACTGTAAACTTTACTGCAACTAACTAAATAGCCAGTATACTAATAGCGAGTACGCTATTTGTGTTCTATTAAAAATATCACTTTTTTATTTTTATATTTACAGGGATAATTACATATTTTTCATGCCATTTACAACTCAAGCGATGGTAACTACTACTCAAGCAGTGTCCTTGTACTAAGCGTTGATATTTAAAAAGACATTAACGTCATTAAAAATATTTATCAATCATTATATTCTACAAATTACTGTCATTTATTATCAAAAATAACTTTGAAATTATATTATATAAAAATATAAATAATCAAATCAAAAATACGTAGTTAAATCTATAATGGATTACCAAACTGTGATTACAAAATTAGATAGTGGCCTTAGCTGACGTAAAAGGCAACTTTAATTTTAGAAAAATTTATTCAAGACTCTAGGGACCGCGCCAGGCTAGACCGACAAGACATTTATTATCTTTTGTCGAGTCAGAGCCAGCAACAGCAGCGCCAGAGAGGCCTCCTGCTAACGACATATTTTCATTGTCGTTTTCACGTTAAGCTGATTGATCTCTTCATAAAAGATGATATTTTAAAATATACTTGTTATTTTTATTAAAAAATATTTTAATTTTTTAATGTATGAAATCAATTTATCAAAAATATCTATATGTATCCATTTTTTAGCTAATGGATACAAATAAAAACAAAGTATAGGCAGTTGGGCCCTTTCATTAACAACGAAGATTATAAAATTATTATATAAAATCAATGCTTTCAGTTCAAACTCATTTAATACACATTATTTTTTTATGAATACAATTCTAAATGTACCCATCAATATTATTACAGATCTACAACTGAGCATTGAAATCATTTGATTACAAACGGGTTATTCCATGGATTCATTATTCATTATAGGACGTCGTAACGCTGTACTGTAAATACAGAGTGACAACTGAGTTGACCCCGTTCAGTAATTGAATAGACATGAGATGGCTCTTTGTATACCTCGTAATTCCAAGACATCTTAATACTCCGAGCTGTCTGGGCCTGCATTAATTATTCTATAACAATAATCCTTGCACTCACTTCCTTACATTATTCATAAATATTCCTTTTTTAGCAACATGCAATATATATAAATGTATAATAAAATTATGTTTTCATAATTACAAAAACGTACCACATTTTTTTTATTGAAAGTAACGTAGAGCTTTTATATCAGCGAGAACTTGAGCGATCTTAGAGAGAAACGTCTTGTTAACGACTTGAAAAGCAAGTCTTGAGACGAACACTTATTTAATGTGTAGGTAAAATAGTTTTATATTATATAATAGCGGAAAAATAATTGCGGAATAAATATTTTGTTAATATACAAGTACATAAATGAAATACGTTTAAAATATGATGTGAAATAAACAATTTTTCGACTTGACTATTGCTTTTGGTTTTGACAGCGTGACCAGGAGAGGAAAAAATAACAAAGAATCTCAAACCATTATATCTAAACAATGTGGCTAAAATCGAAATTGCGGTTTTACTTGAAGAGAAAAACATTTTTTTAATTTCAATACAAAATATTTCATAAAAATAGATTTAAAAAATCTTAATATTAAACCAGATTTAAAAAAAAATTGTCGTAATTGATAAATTCGATCAATACTAACAAAGGTTCCTTAGTTCCCAACTCTCTAACAGTATCGAGGGATTTCTGTCGGGCACTTATACGTAAATGATAAACGGTAGAACATAGAGACAAAAGACGAGGAACAGAAACGAGCGAGGGTGAGCTCAGTGCAATTAAATGCAAATACAGCTTCAACAATACATGCTTCCTGGCTGTTACAGACAGTTATTGCCTACCAATAAAGACAACGCTATTTACTCCGTTTAAGATCATGATCTCACTCTTTGTAAATTTTGAGTTTATTCTTTCAGATAAAAATTTTATGGCTTAATATAAATAAAATATAGTGTGTTTATGATAACCTTCTATAAGTGTTTAATGAAAAAGTCTTTATACCCACCCGGATTTTATAATTACGAATGTTTATGTGGATGTGACTGTGGTACGCATAAGTGTATACGTTTGTTACTAAATCGCTACAAACAAGCCAACAAAACCAGGAGTTGAAACTAGTATTACATAAACCAGCTATTGAATAAATTTATTGTTAAGCGTTTTGTGAAATATCATATAACACGTGTTATATTTATACGTATGTATTTTATACATTTATGAAGGTCTATTTATTTGATAAGTCGAATGTGTCACTTCTCTTATAAGTTGTATCCCGCAACCATTCTGAAATATTTTGTGACACCGCATTTCACATTCTTATTACCGAATACCTCGACGCGTATGTCAAACGCAAACTTATATTAAACTTTGGTTATTACCTACTACCTCGCTCGTATTGTAATGTTACAATTCAATTTTATGGTTTATTTCCATCATAAATTTTAAATTCCTTCCTTCCACATTTAAAATGTCTTTCTCTTTTATAGCAAGACATGAAATAGCAATTTTAGGGTGATATTATTTTAAATGTAATTTCGTAGTGTAAAATATATATCTACATTTTGAACAGCAATTCAGCAGGAACACAAGAAATTTATAGCAAATAAAAATAAATGTCGTGCACAAAACAGGAATTTTAATAAACCCATTACTATACGTTTTTAAATTCGCTGTGAGCCTGGCTGCCCCAAACATGCTGAGATGGCTCATCTAAAATGTATCCACCGCATTTACCTGGTTT